AAAGGACCATCATTTAAGTATAAGCCAGCAGTTTGTTGCAGCTGCAAAAAACGTTAATGCAGTCTATATCAATAGAGTGATAGCATCAAGAGATCAGAAATTATAGCATTGCACTATACTGCACTACTGAGACCACAACTGGCATACAGTGTCCAGATCAAATCACTACAATAAAACAAAGATGCTGAGACCTTAAAAAGTGAGAGAAAAGCAAAAAAGATGACAAAGGTCTGGAGGCTAAACCATATTATGAACAGTTAAGAGAACTAGGTATGTCTAATCTAACAAAGAGAGATTAGAGGTGACATGATAGCTGCCTTCAAATACATGAGGAGCTGATACAGAGAAGAGGGAATTGATTTATTCTCCAAAGCATCTGAGGGCAGAACAAAAAAAATGGGTGGAAGCTCATTAAAGAGAGATTCAACCTGGAACTAAGGAGAAATTTCCTGATAGGTGTGAAACATTAACCAATGGAATAGCTTGCTTCCCAGAGTTGTGGGTGCTCCATTGCTGAAGGTTTTCAAGAAAAGATTGGACAGCTATTTGTCCAGGATGGTATTAGGCCTCCTGCCTTGGAGAAAAGGTTGGACTAAAAGACCTCCAAGGTCTTTTCTAGTCCTATGATTCTATGATTCTAAAGTATACAATATCTGATACATTAACTGAAGTCTGTAGAACTGAGGAATTGCTCTCAAGAGGTCAATTCAAGATAGAAATAATTTGTTGATAAATAGATTGCGAGCCATGGAAGGGAAATTGATGACAAACAACACCTTCATCAATGATTTGGATGTGGGGATAGATGGGGAACTCATCAAATTTGCAGACGACACCAAGCAGGCAGGAATAGCCAACATTCCAGAAGATAGGCTTAAGATACAGAAGGATCTTGACAGAATTGAACATTGGGCGCTATCTAACAAAATGAAATTCAATGGTGAAAAAAGTAAGGTTCTACATATAGGCAAGAAAAACCAAATGCACAGGTATAGTATAGGTGGTAACTTGCTCAATAGTAGTAACTGTGAGAGGGACCTTAGAGTTCCAGTAAACAATTACTTAAATATGAGCCAGCAGTATGCTGCAGCTACCCAAAAAGTCAATACAGTGCTAGGCTGCATTAATAGAGGGATAGAATCAAGATCACGTAAAGTGTTAATACCACTTTACAATGCCTTGGTAAGGCCATACTTGGAATACTGCATCCAGTTTTGATCACTACTATGTAAAAAAGATGTTGAGGCTCTAGAAAGTGTACAGAGAATAGCAACAAAGATGATTAGGGGACTGGAGGCTAAAACATATAAGGAATGGTTACTGGAATTGGGTATGTCTAGTTTAATGAAGAGAAGGACAAGGGGTGACATGACAACAGTGTTCCAATATCTCAGAGGCTGCCACATAGAAGAGGGAATCAAGCTATTCTCCAAAGCAGCTGAAGGCAGGACAAGAAGCAATGGATGGAAACTAACCAATGAGAGAAGCAACCTAGAACTAAGGAGAAATTTCCTGCCAGTTAGAACAATTAATCAGTGGAACAACCTGCCTCTAGAAGTGGTGAATGCTCCAACACTGGAAATTTTTAAGAAGAAACTGGGCAGCCATTTGTCTTAAATGGTATAGGGTTTCCTGCCTGAGCAGATGACCTCCAAGGTCCCTTTCAACTTTATTATTACTATTATTATTATTATTATTATTATTATTATTATTATTATTATTGATCATCACACAGTCAGCCAGATGTTCAGACTGAATTTGGCATTTTTGTCAGCCTATAGAATCCTTACCAAGAACCTGGGATAGGCAGATGTGGATGTTTGATGGTATTACAGATATCGTCAGAGGATGGAAGCAGTTTCTAGTAAGGCTGCCTTTTGCGATTGACTAATGGCAAATTTGTCAATGCCAATGGTGTTCAAAGTGGTGCTCCAGTTGTTTTGGGATTGTACCCAGGTGCCTATTACTATTGGTACTACCCTCCCTTGGCTTGCCACAGTCTATTTCTATTTGTAGGTCTTTGTATTTTGTTATCTTCTCCAGTTCTTTCTTGTCTATTCTGCTGTCTCCAGACTTTGCCATGTCCACTATCTAGACTTTTTTGTCTTTCTTAACAATAATTGTTAAGTGTGGGGTGTTATGTTGCAGGTGCTTGTCTGTTTGAATTCTGAAGTCCCAGAGCAGTTTAATTTGATCATTTTCTATGACTTTCTCTATTTTATGATCCCACCAGTTCTTGCTTACAGGCAAATGATATTTCTTGCAGATCTTCCAATGCACCATTTTTGCTACTTTGTCATGCCGCTGCTTGTAGTCAGTCCGTGCGATTTTCTTGCAGCAGCTTACTAGGTTGTCCACTGTTTCTTCAGCTTCTTTGCATAGGTGGCACTTACTGTCTGTTGCTGTCTTTTCAATTTTGACTTTGTATGCATTTGTCCTTAAGGCTTGGTCTTGTGCAGCCAGAATTAGTCCTTCAGTCTCTTTCTTCAATTTTCCTGCTCTTAGCCATTGCCAGGTCTTGTTATTATCTGCTTTCCCAGCTATTTTTTTTTAATGTGCTGGCCATGTTGTGCTTTGTCTTCCCATGCTTCTATTCTGTTCTTCATTTGGTCTTTCTTGTAGGCCAGTTTGGTCTCTCCAGTAGTCAGTAAGCCTTCCTGATATACTAATTTCAGTGCATCTTCATCATTGTCCTTCAGATATTCTTCCAAAGCCAATTTTTCTTCTTCAACCATCTGATGTACTTGCAGGATTCCATACCCACCTATTTGCCTTGGTAGATAGAGTCTGTCAATGTCACTGCATGGCTGAAGGGCATGATTCATTGTCATTATTTTTCTGGTCTTCCTATCCATTGCTTTTAGTTCTGCTTGAGTCCAGTCCACTATTCCACTGTGTATCTAAGGATTGGAATTGCCCAGGTGTTGATTGCCTTATGGTATTTCTTCCATTGAATTTGGGCTTTAAGATCTTCTTCATTCTCTTGATGTATTCACCTTTTTCTTGACTTCATTGTGCTTGATGTTGTCAGCTTGAAGGATACCCAAGTATTTGTAGTAATCTTCCTCATCCAGACTCAATATTATTTTCGTGGGGCATCTTGATTCCTTCAGTTTTCACTACTTTTCCTTGTTTGATAGTAAGCATGGCACATTTGTCCAAGCCAAACTCCATTGCAATATCTTGGCTATATATACGGACAGTGTTGAGCAGCAATTCTATTTCAGATGATGTTTTTCCATACAGCTTCAGATCATCCATGTAAAGGAGGTGGGATAGTCTAGAAGATGTTTTTGATGTTTGATAGCCATGTCCTGAGTTATTCAGTATTTTCATTATTATTATTATTTTGGATCATCGCACAGTCAGCCAGATGTTCAGACTGGATTTGGCATTTTGTCTACCTATCGAGTCCTTACCCAGGACCTGGGATAGGCAGATGTAGATGTTTGATGGTATTACAGATATCGTCGCAGGATCGAAGCAGTTCCTAGTAAGGCCACCTTTTGCAATTGACTAATAGCGAATTTGTCAATGCCAGTGGTGTTCAAGTGGTGCTCCAGTTGTTTTGGGATTGTACCCAAGGAGCCTATTACTATTGGTACTACCCTTGCTTGCTTTTGCCACAGTCTTTCTATTTCTATTTGTAGGTCTTTGTATTTTGTTATCTTCTCCAGTTCTTTCTCTTCTATTCTGCTGTCTCCAGGCACTGCCACGTCCACTATCCAGACTTTTTTGTCTTTCTTATCGACAATTGTTAAGTGTGGGGTGTTATGTTGCAGGTGCTTGTCTGTTTGAATTCTGAAGTCCAGAGCAGTTTACTTTTATCATTTTCTATGACTTTCTCTATTTTATGATCCCACCAGTTTTTGCTTACAGGCAAATGATATTTTTGGCAGATCTTCCAATGCACCCATTGTTGCTATTTTGTCATGCCGCTGCTTGTAATCAGTCTGTGCAATCTTCTTGCAACAGCTTACCAAGTGGTCCACTGCTTCTTCAGCTTCTTTGCATAGGCGGCACTTACTGTCTGTTGCTGTCTTCTCAATTTTGACTTTGTATGCATTTGTCCTTAAGGCTTGGTCTTATGCAGCCAGAATTAGTCCCTCGGTCTCTTTCTTCAATTTTCCTGCTCTTAGCCATTGCCAGGTCTTATTATTATCTGCTTTCCCAGCTATTTTTTTCACGTATTGGCCATGTAGTGCTTTGTCTTCCCATGCCTCTATTCTGTTCTTCATTTGGTCTTTCTTGTAGGCCAGATGATGATGATGATGATGATGATGATGATGATTATTTATAATATGTGGCAGAAAAAGAAAATCCTGTTGATGTGATCAGTATCCATATATGCAGCATTTCTGAAGGAAGAATAAGGGCATGAATTTTGGAATAGGATGAAAAAGATAGGTATGAAGAGTTATAATAATAGCAACACTTATGTGGAAAATTTTGATAATAACAATCAGATAAATAAATAGATCTTGAAATCCTGTGAGATGCCAAAGATAAATGCAAATGGTCTTGTGATCATTGGGTGTAAGAGTGGTAAGCATAACTTGAGTAGAAAAGAATTTTTTAATATCTCCTTCAAAAATCTCTGAGTGAGTTGAGTGATTAACAAATATGAAATATAAACAAACAAACAAATAAATAAAAGAAAGCAGAATATTGCAAAGTTGTTATCCGCCTGGACTTTACCAATATCACGCCAGGACTGATATAAAAGTGAATATCTTCAGAGAAGGCAGAGATACAGGAGAATGATTGTCAAAGGTCCAGAAGAACAGGACAGGTACGTTCATACATGTGACACTGAGCATAAATGTCTGTTTTTTCCTCTCGGGTTCACTTGAACATTTAGGAAAATGTTTCTTCTCCTTCCACTTTGTGAAAACTGAAGAGAATGACCATAAATTGATGGATTAGTTAAGGCTATTGATGTCCATAGTTGATTGATAAATATGTAATTGATTCATTGGTTAATTGGTTAAGGGACTCACCTTTCAGCAGAAATGTGATATGATCAACCCAGTCTATAGCTTCTGCAGGATTAGCAGCTGTGAACTGCAAAAGAAAAAAAATCAGAATGCCAAAGGTATATAGATAATTCTCGACTTACGCCACAATTGAACCCAAAATTTCTGTTGCTAAGCAAGACATTTGTTAGATGAATTTTGCCCTATTTTATAACTTTTCTTGCTACTATTGTTAAGCAAATCACTACAGTTAAGTTAGTAACACTGTTGTTAACTGAATCTGGCTTCTCCATTGACTTTGTTTGTTAAAAGATCACAAAAGATGATCACATGACTCAGGAGCACTGCAACTGAGTGGTGGGATTCAGCCAGTTCGCACCAGTTCGGTTGAAGTGGTAGCTAATATTTTGTTGCCCAGGCCCAGAATGGACTTCCAGAAGCAGCATCCACACAGAGAACCAGTTGTTCACATATTTGAATCCCACCACTGCTGCAACTGTCATAAATATGAGGCAGTTGTCAAGCATCTGAAGTTTGGTAACGTGACTATGGGGATTCTGCAACAGATATAATTGTGAAAAACAGTAATAAGTCACTTTTTTCAGTGCCATCATAACTTCCAACAATCACTATATGAATGGTTGTAAATCAAGAACTACCTGCATTGAGTTACATGCTGGATACTTAAATATGGCACCACCATCAGTGCAGATCACATGCTATTGGTACTATGTTCTACATGTAGTCTTCAACTTACGACCACAATTAAGCCCAAAATTTCTGTTGCTAAGCAAGACATTTGTTAAGTGAATTTTGTCCCATTTTACGACTTTTCTTACCACAGTTGTTAAGTGAATCACTGCAGTTGTTAAGTTAGTAATATGGCTGTCGAATGAATCTGGCTTCCCCATTGACTTTATTTGTCAGAAGGTCACAAAAGGGATCACATGACCCAAGGACACTGCAACCATCATAAATATGAGTCAATTCTAAGTGTCTGAATTTTGATCATGTGACCGTGGGGGTTGCTGCAGTGGTTGTAAGTGTAAAAAATGGTAATTAGTCACATATTTCAGTGCCGTTGTAACTTCAAACAGCCATTAAATGAACTGTTATAAGTTGAGGACTACCTCTATTCATTCATTCACTCATTCATATGTATATCATTATTAAGAATGAATTCAGAACCGCATGCAACAATGATATCCTATTATTTCCTTGGATCATTTGAAATGCAGTAGGGTTTTTAAAGATAGTTTATCCATTTAGTTGCTGAATCAATGTTATTTTTACATTTGTTCACTTATTTTAAAAATCTAAATAGGAATGAGGAAGTGAACTTTTCTGTATGTCTGAGTTTACTTTGGAATCCCAGAAAGCACATATCATCTCATGCAATTCACATTACTCACATAGACCATGTGAGTATTTTTAAATAATCATAAAAGGGCACACCACTTTTCTCAGAAGAGGCTGTTCACATATATATTGAAAGGAAACCAAACAATGGACAATGTGTGATGACTGGAGATACATCAGATTAAAATGCAAACTCTGCCACAGGAACACACTGGTGTTGGAATAGATTTGGGGACCAAAAATAACATGCATGGAGAAAGTTATTCATTAATAGATTTATGTTAACGATGTAGATAAAGATTCAGATATTGACTCACAATGCCACATCTCTTTGGGTGATACTCTAGGTCAGGGTGTATTTTGAAAGGGGAATTATTTCACTCTACTAATAAGGCAGAGGATATTTTGCTTCACTATCACCTTGCTCAATATAGGGAAGGATGCAGAGATAAACACTGAATGAAGAGCCAGAAGAATAGCTAGCTAACAGGCTAATCAGGGGGAAAAAGTATGGGAATGAGAAGCAGCAATCTATTAGACCCAAAGAACAGGGTCTGGTTCACTTAAAATATTTTGAATAGTCTTGAATCTCAATTAATTTTACTGGGTGGGATTTTCACATGTTGATTGGATTGTGTCAACTTCAGACTCAGCATAAATTAATTCATATTAGCTCTGAAGCAACAGTGTCTAGGCCCTTCCACTTTTATAAATGACTGGATAAGTTAAGTCAAGTAGAATGAGAAAAACAATTGTGCAGGGGGGTTACAGTGGCTTTTAATTCAGTTTTTAATTCTACATATTTTGATGTAAGTGTTGAATATGCATTAGTTAGTAGAAAGAAAGAGGAATATCTCATTCCCTTAGCAAAAAAATATAGAACCTGAATGTTGTGCACAGGAGAATATAGGATTCATGCTAAAAGCAAAATTTCCCAGAACAATTTCAATGGCTATCAGACAGCCCCAAGCCTGAGGAATGCAAAGCAAGGCATTTGTTAAATCATGGGAACCGCAGGAAATAGAACCACTGGATTTAAATGGATATAAGAAGTAATACTGGCCGAGGACAATCAATACTTCAAAATAGCTTCATTTTAGTAGTAGTAGTAGTAGATTATTCTTGATTATTCCTATAACCATGTGAAATAAAACAATTTCAGGATAAAATAGATTAAAAAATACAGCAGTGAAATATATATGTAGTAAACATAAAGAATCATAATAAAAGTTTTTGTCTTGCCATGCCAAGCTGATTTTCTAGCTAAATTCTGGGGCAAGCATTACAGAGCAGTTCAAAAGCATTTTAAGCTTTATATAGCAAAATATTCTTTAAGTCAGGATGTTAGAATTTTACAGCTAACTAAAATAAATGGATGGATAAATAAACAGATAGACAGTACTGTTTATAAAATTCTACTTGGGTAGCTTCTGTAAACATGATCAATGACAAAGGAAACCCAAACATTTCACTGAGTATTTTCCAAGATACAGAATGTAGAATGTCATCCTTCCCCTTATTAAACACATATTATAACTAAATTTCTTGATGAAAACTCTTCCTACAGTTCATGTTGGCAGAAAGAATTTTCCATGTCTGTTAATCATTACCTCATAGGTTCGTTTACCAGGAGAAGTCAACTCAAAGCAGCAATCTCTTCGGGAATCCTTGCGCAGATAGGGAACTAGCTGAGCATGGTAGTTCTCAATAGCAAATATGCCTTTTGGTTGTTTGCCTGTATAATAGCAGTAGCAGTGATAAGTCATTATTGGTATTCATAAATTTTTAGTTGCTATCTTGTTTAGTAATTACTTTTCCAATACAGGACCTTATTTAAGGTCTTCAAGATTCCTTATATTTAGTTTTTATTTATTTATTTATTATTAAATTTTATGCCACTTATATCATTATTCAAAGTGACTTTGGGCAGCTTATAGAATGGTGACTGAATGGACAGCAGAGAAAAATTTAATCATTCTTTTATTCATGCCATACAGGCAGTCCTCAGCTTATGACCACAATTGAGCTCAAAACTTCTGTTGCTAAGTGAGACATTTGTTAAGCGGGTTTTGTCCCATTTTACAACCTTTCTTGCCATAGCTGTTAAGTGAATCACTGCAGTTGTTAAATTAGTAATCCAGTTGTTAAATGAATCTGGCTTCCTCATTGACTTTGCTTATCAGAAGGTCGCAAAAGGGGATCACATGACCTTGGGATACAGCAACGGTCATAAATATGAACCAGTTGCCAAACATCTGAATTTTGATCCTATGATCATGGGGATGCTACAAAGGTCGTAACTATGAAAAATAGTCATAAAGTCACATTTTTCAGTGCTGTTGTAACTTTGATTGCTCACTGAATGAAATGTTATAAATCAAGGATTACCTGTACTCCTTCAAAATGCATTTTATTTTAAGAAAAAAAGTTCCCTCTTATGAATCACTTGAGCCCCATTAGAAGGATACACATTCCCTTTGTTACATTTTCATTTGCATATAAGCTTGACAATCAAATACATTGGCATTAATGATTTAATTTAAAATGTCATTGAAAAGATATTTTTGATTATGGATGTACAATATTCTGGATATATAAAAGAGCTATGTTTTTATTGGAACTCTGACTTAGGACTAATATTCATATTACAACTGCCATACAGAATAAGCTTTTAATTGATCCATGCCTGATGAACTGCTCTGAGTGCACAGGATTTTCATTTTAGATTTTCTTCATTCTGGCATCAACCCTTCCTCTCAAGTTTGCAACAGCTTGAAAAAAATTGCATAGAAATAACTCTCCACTTCTGAACAGCTGCTAGATGAAGCAATTTAAAGCTGTCTCCATATGGCAGACTTGACATATGTATTTGCTTCAAGCTAATATGCAGGAGGGTAATAAAAAGGGAGGATCATTCCACAGGATCCATGTTGCAGGATCAAAAGGCAGATTCTGACCAAAAGGCAGTGCTCCCTACCTTCCCAATTAAATCGTTGATTAAGACTGCTAGAAGATGTTGCTTTATTAAAACACATCTATTTTAGTGGGGAAGGAGTTTTTATAGCTATAGACAGGATTATGTTATGATATCACACCAATGGATAAATGAAATATTCCAACCCCTCCCTCCCCCATTACAGGTGCTATGAACTCTTCCTTTTTTTTTACTTCCTATCAAAAATTATCAGGAAATCACATCACTAACATATAGTGATTCACCATTTAATATTAACATTGTGATCTCATGGGAACAAAATAGGGGTTGGGGTGTTATGATTGTCTATCAGTGATTCAGGAGAAGTACAGAGGTAGAATAGAAGTTAAGCATGCTTAGACATTCACTAAACATATTCTCATGAGGGAGAGACACTCTTTGTCACATCCAGATACCCAAGTTCCACCCAATTTGGTGGAAGGATAAGTAAAATCAGGTAAAAACAGAAACACAGAACTTTTGCTATGAGAAGACTTTATTTTTATAGAAAATATTTCTGTGTGAAACTAAATTTCTTTTTTCTTTGCACAATGTATGAAATTGAAAGTTGAACTCGGTGTGAATTTGTATTAACTACTTCAGGCCTCAATGCCAAAAATACATTTTTCTCCATAAAATTTTCTTGTAATTGATAATATTAATTTGATATTCTCTTTCACATAAATCTCTTTCAGAAGACCATCACTATATTGTTGCTTACCTGGAGCACTGTATTTTTGTTCCAAACTTTTTTTATCTGTTTTTCTAAGTTACCGGCTCTTTCTCTCATGACCTGAGAACCACTGTAAATGATCTTTTTTCCAAAAATCTAAAATTTTGATTTAGTTTATTTCTTCTGAAATCAGTTTGTCCCCCCCCCCCAAGGAAGTAATGAATCTTTTAGTTACATTATTCTGTTACATGAGTAGGACATTGTGCTATAGGCATTATAATGACCAGTAAGGCTGCACAATATGAGTGAGCCCATCTCTCTCACACACACTGGGTTGTGAGCTGGATGTGGTGCCTCTAGGAGAATAATTAGTGGCACCAGGAACTCCTAACCTGCTACATCAAAAGAGGGTGTTGTGTTAAGTCCTTCGTTTAATGGCGAATGAAGATCACACATGGTTGAATCAACAGCTCTTTATTTCTCCTTCTGCTCACTCCAACAACAACTGTGAGACTCGCAGGTCTCTGCTTTTGTGACCAGATCCCCGGGCAAAACAGTTACAGTTAATGGTGCGCTTTTGTGCCTCACGCATGTGCGCAAGGCTGGAGCCGCTCAGTCTGGTCCCGGGCAGCTTGCAGCAACCCCGGGACCATAGCAATGTCCCGAGCCTGCTTTTGCAGGCTGAGGACACAACACCCCTTCCCCCCAGATGAAACCTTCTCTGCACATGTGTGAGACCTCTCTGAAGGGACGTGGTATAAGATTCCATCAAATCAAATGCATGGACTGTGGATATTGATGTTACTCATGGATCACATCCTTGTGTGATACCATGCTATCATTTTGGGAATAATTGTACCTGACATTCCAAAAATAAACCAATAACTCCACCATTCATTTATGGCATTACTGCCTTATTTCCCCCATGACTTGACAGCCACTTTACAAACTCCCTAAGGTGTTTGGGTGGGTATTTAACCCATTGCGACCTCCTCGGACCCAGGGAACACTCTTGGATTCCCTGCTCAATTACTGGGTTGGGGTGCCCACTCTTTGCTGCCCCAGTTGCCCAGGTGACCTTAGGCTGGAGTAAGTGATGGTGTGGGGAATGTTCCCCGTCCCAATGAATTCCTGTTGGGAACACTTGCAGAAACTTGAGATGGGCCTTCCCCAGCCTCCTCAGCGGCCAGTGACTGCTGATAGCGATCCTCCACATGCACACTATAACCCTCCTCCCCCCCCCCAGAGAAGAGCCAGCAGCAGAAGAGGACGAGTCCAGTCTCATACGCAGCTGGTCTATGTGCCGCCAGAGAATGCGGCCGTCGTCCACGGACACCTCGTAGGACAAAGGTCCAGTGACCTTGCAGACCACAGTTGGAATCCAAAGATGACCGGGCCTGTAGTTCTGGGTCCAGACCAGAGCACCCACTTGCAAACACCATGGTGCCCATGGCTGTGAGACCTGAGATGCCACCCGATCAGGGTGCAATCTGTCAAGCTTAGTTATTAGTCTGCGACCCCAGCAGAATTCAGTTGGGCTCTTTCTAGTGGATATACAAGGTGTGGTGTGGTGTGCAAGAAGAAAGTCTGCTAACCTGTGATGCCAGTCACCATAAGTCAGTTTCTTGAGGGCATCCTTGGTGATGCGCACCATACGCTCAGCCATACCGTTGGTGGAGGGGTGGAAACGAGTCAAAGTCGCATGATGGTTCATATTGGCTTGAAGAAAACCCTGGAACCCAGAAGAAGTGAATTGAGGACCGTTATCTGAAGCCAGAACATCTGGAAAGTCGTGTGCAGCAAAAATGCCTCTCAACACCTGGATTGTCCTGGCAGTAGTAGTGGAGGAAACAGGAACAACCTCTAGCCACTTTGAATGGCTATCAACAACAACCAAAAAGAATTGCCCCTGAAAGGGCCCAGCGTAATCTATATGCACTCTGGATCATGGTGATTGAGTTTCCTCCCATCTATGAATTGGGGCCTGAGGCATTTCTGGCCATGATTGCTGGCACAACTGACACCCATGCACCTGAGCCTCTATAGCCTTATCTAGCCCAGGCCACCAGAGATGGCTGCACGCAGGTGCTTTCATTCTAACAATGCCAGGATGTCCCTCATGCAGAAAGAGCAAGATTCTAGGCCTCAATGAGGCTGGGATAACTACCCTGCTACCCCACAACAGGCAACCCTTAAAAGTGGACAACTCATGCTTCTTGAGCCAGAAGCTTTGGAACTCCGTACCTGGACTTCTGTCAGGCCACCCTGACAATACCCATGAAAGCACACGTATAAGAGTATGATCTCTGGCAGTTTCTGCAGCCACATCCCTGGCATTGTGGGGAGATTCTGGCAACTTCTGAATGGAGAGAATATTGATGGCAGGAGCAGGGTCTGCTTCTACCAGCTTCAGAGGTAGTCTGCTTAGGACATCAGCGTGGCCCATTTTCTTACCTGGTTTGTGAACTAAAGTATAATCATAGGCTGACAGGAAAATGGACCACCTCAGCATTCTATGGGAAATAATGTGAAGGGTTTGTTTGTTAGTTGTAAACAACTCCAGCAGAGGCTTATGGTCTGTGTGGACCGTAAAATGGCGGCCATATAAGAAATCATGAAGTTTCTTAATGCCAGTCACTATGGCCAATGCTTCCCTGTCTATTTGAGCATAATTACGCTCAGCAGAAGACAGAGTCCTAGAGTAATATGCCACAGGAACCTGAGTTCCATCAGCCCTCAAGTGGCTAAGTACAGCTCCCACCCCATACGGAGATGCATCGTAGGCAATGCAGACAGGCAATTGTTCATTGAAGTGTGCAAGCACAGCATTAGACGTGAGCAAAGACTTGACCTCATTGAAGCTCATTGAAGCTCTTTTCATGGACTTTTCTCCACTGCCAAGATGCCTGCTTGTCTAAAAGCCTATGTAATGGTTCTGCTACTGCAGCTTTGTGAGGGAGAAATGCATTGTAAAAGTTTAAGAGGCCCAAAAAAGCCTGTAGCTCACTTTTAGACTTGGGGCTTGGAGCCTGCTGTATAGCCTCTAACTTCGATTCAGCAGGGTGAATACCTTGAGCATCTATCCTGA